GGTTATGAGATGGACGAGCTGTTAAGCTTGTGAGGACAGCTGATATCAGACTTAGGCGTTGTCGCATGTCACCAAGAGGGCATTACCCACAGTACTGTGTAGATTTAAGGCCGAGCTGTACAGGTATAAGATATGTTTCAGCGCACTTTCATTCTCGAAGATAACTACATATGTGGGTGAGGTGAGTTAAAAAAAAAAAATCCACGAATTATCTAATGGCGAGCAAAAAAAAAAAGAGCGAAAGATAAATCGAGTATACTGAAGGTAGGTAGTTAGTCAGCATGATAACTTTAGCCCTATATTTTTGTAAGATGAGCGTATCTGCGGCTTTTCACATTTACACTGAAAACAATTTAATCCAAGGCCCGCGAGTAAACCGGTGTTTTGCGGGTACCTACCCCTATCCGCAACCATTTTTAACCACCCTCCCAGGAGTACAGTAAGGTCCCATTGCAGTGTAGTCGTCCCTGCTCTCAGCGGACTTGTTCGCTGACAGCGGTTATATCCGCTCAGAGCAAGTACGAATACACCGCAATGGGACCTAGCACTACTCCTGGGAGGGTGGTTAAAAATGGTTGCGGATAGGGGTACCCGTAAAACACCGGTTTACTCGCCAGCCTTGGGTTAAATTGTTTTCAGTGTACTTTTACCGTTGTTTTTTTATTACTGAATGCACTAGCCACTCGCCAGCTACGACATTACAACTCTCGTCGCGACTCGCCGCTCGTCAATGGATTCGAGCCTCTCCTCTCCGGGGCTCTGGCCTCAGAGAGAAGACGCCAAGTTCTGACGGAGCGATCGACCGCGACCGCGTGCAGGCCCGTCTGAGGCTCGTTAATCGCACCCGAACCGGCACATTTTAACCCGCGCCCTGGTGTGGGTCTGAGCCACCTTCGCCCTGGTGGGGGGGGGGGGCCAAAATGACCCCCCCCCCGTCTAACTCGAAAACGAAGAGGGCTAGGAAGACGCGGAAAAAAGCAAACGAAAGCCCATAACAAGTACGTTCGAAAGTATTTCGGTCATTTTTTCGCTAAGGTCAATATTGAGGTCGCTAGAGGTCATCATAGGTCAAATTTCAGTGTTTTCGGTGTTGCCGGACATATTCCGCTGTAGCTCGGAAACTAGAAGAGCTAGAGAGCCGCGGAAAAAAGCAATCGATAGCTCTTTTCAAGCTCTTTCGCCAAGGTTCGTCAGATTTGACCTCAGCTCAACGGTTTGGCCTACAGAGGTCATGCAAGGTCAACTTGGCAAATTTCGTTGAAAATGTTTTTAACTATAGCATGCATTCACGAGAAAATAGAGAAACGATTCATGCACCATCGTGCTTGGCTCGTCGAGACGCGTCGAATGATATATAGTTTGACCTCGAAAGGTCATTTTGAAAATTTGACCTCAGGTCAAGGTCATGACCTTACCGAAATAGGTCATGCTGCATATCATTCGATCCGCATTGACGAGACAAACACGATAAACGTCGAACGGAGTCTCTATCTCTATTCAATAACAAGTAAGTGCAGAAAAACCGCTGGTGACCTCTGGTGACCAGGGAGATGACCTAGCGTGACCTCAGCGAGGTCACAAGCAAATGGTTTCACATGGGCTGTGATTTGCTGACCCAAGACACTTCAATAACGAAATATAGGAACAATCACGCCCGATTTAGCTGAAAAACAACTACTTTTCGATTCTCCCATTGACTTATAATGGGGAGCAGCGATGACCTGACCTGACCTTAGGTCACATTTATAAAAAATCCGAGATAGCCATTTTGTAGAGCTGGGTGACATCTTCAAGTACTGTAAATTTTACATCGATCGGATAAAAGCTGTGCCTTTGAGAGAGCTTTGAACTTTTTTAGAGGTGGTGTCAGTTTTGGTGACCTTGTGACCTGACCTGACCTGACCCGAACCCCCAAAAAAAGGACATGATGTAAAAATGTTGAATAAACAGCTATACAAAGTTTCAGGGCGCTAACTCAAGTGGTTTCTGAGTTATCGCTGAAAAACCACAGGGGGGGGCCAAAATGGCCCCCCCCCCCCACCAGGGCGAAGGTTAATGGCGATGGATGAGCTGTCGGCGTCACGCCCAGGGGGAGTGTTTCTGTCCTCACCGCCCCCTCCGAGATCGATTTCCGTTCGGCTCGTGCTCCTCCGCCCCTCTGCCTCACGCTCCTCGTCCCTTCACCCCTCTCCCCTGCGTTCGGCTCCGAGATGCTATTTTGAGGCGGTGAGATCGAAATAGTAACGTGTATGAATTTCACGCACCCCCTGCGCCCGACAAATGAGGCCGAGGCGCGTTCACTATGCGATAGAAGCAATCTAAGGGTGTGTCGTGACGTCATCAAGGGCTCAGCAGTAATTGGCTGCCAGCTGGCGGCGTCATCAACGGGAATGAACGGAATGGGACGGCTGGCTGACCCCTGAACTGGCGACCATCAGTCACCGAGGAAAACCAGGCGGCTGGTCAGAACGGATGGCAGAGTCGTAAGGAGACTGAGCGAATTGTGCGCTTCGAAACACAACTTCAACCAGTGTTTGATGTTGATTGTTTGTCCCTTTACGACGTCGCTATGTGTCAAACACGCCTAAATATGTATTATCCCTATACTGGCGACTGCTTAAGTCGGGTACCATTTCCCAAATTTCATTCACACCCTTTGCCAAAACGCTTCTGAAACTCCGCCAACCTTCCGCAGTGTTACCGTTTGCAGAAGAGGGTCGACTCAGCATCCTCCCCCCGATTTACCATCCAGCTGAATCACTGATCACCGTTTGACATTGGCAGGGACCGGTCCCCCTGTGTCCGTGACGTCACCCCCCCCCCCCCCCTCAGCAGCACCCCGCGGGTCATCAGTCAGCCGGGGGCGGTCGGGGTCGGGGTGCACGGTCTGTCTGAACGGGTAATTGGACGGGAAAGGTGGGGGGGGGGTGGGGGGGTGTCGCTCGGACTTCGACTCGAGGGATGTCAAAGTGACAGAGCGACTCGGACCAGATACTCTAGTCTGCAGCGTGAGGAACTGTCGAGGGAGCATTGCTCACGGCTAAAGCTAGACGGCTGACGACCGGAAAGCTAGAGTGGTAGAACGTTGTCGTTTAAAGTTGGTACTCGGTAGAGGGTACCAAAATGTTTTTAGGTAGAAACATGGATTAAAAATACCTTCTTATACACGAGTAACAAACTCTTGCTTCATTCGCCCAGGTCCAGCCTGACCCGTAACACCAGAGGTCTATAGACCGCCTCAAAAATCCTAATCATGACTACAGAAAGATATGGTCCTCCCTCGCAAAGCCTTTCCCGTGGCCCCGTCCGTGCAGCAATGTCCAACTCGTCACCTGGCCATCACGACCCAACAGCTCAGCGCTCACATTACCGGTGCACCGCTTAATTTTCATCAATTACCGAGCCGCTAGCGGCGCCGCCTCTGAAGGCAGTCGCCGCGCACGGAAATGACTGTATTTGCTGCCGTCTACAACCGCCCGAACAGACGTTAAAGAGGACCGTTCTAGGGTCGTTATAGGGTTTGTGCTCGGTCGTTTGGAGGTCTGTTTACCTCGGGCAGCGCCGGACAGTGAGCTGGTAACAATATAAAGGTGGCTGGGCTGGCCATTGGTCAGAAACTACTGCCGGAAAAGTATAAAGGTGTAAATTATACCTAAGACGTAGCATGCCACTAAACCTTTCTAAATAAACCGTCATCAAAACTATAGGTATAGGATATTACGTCCGAGCAATGCCCGTGGTCAATAAATAAATAGCCCACCAAGACCAATCAGATATAGGCATTAGGCAAGACGTCTGCCTGCAAGCCATCTATGCATAAAGTACTGCTTTTTATGTTTAGGTATATACTAATTCAACAAAGCCAAAGGCTTGGATTTAGAATGCTAACGTGGGCAGCATTCCGCCTACCAAACCAATTGTTTTCCCGCTGCGATCCCAAAGCCACACCGCAGTCATAAACAAACTGTTAGCGCGAATCGACTTCATCGATTCTGAGATCTAATTGAGTCTGCCGGCTGCGGAGGCGACTGGTTTGGACCGGGCTGTTCGTCGCGCTGCCGAGGATCAGCCTCTGAGATATGGGCCTTTGTTCGGCGCGTGCAGTATGGCGGCACGGCGCCTCCCCCACTGAGGATCACCATTAGATAGCCCGCGCCGTGCCTCCACCGAGCCCGGCAGAATGGAGACCCGGCCGCTGCAGACAGCACGGCGACCAGACAAAGGGGAATCCTATGTAAAATTGAGTCGATTTTTCTTCCTACAGCCCCTGCCACGCCGAGAAGGGATAGCTGGATGATGTTGTGGCGCAGACGCAGCAGAATCGCCGTGCCCAAACGCGTACAATACAAATGGGAAGTGTATGCTCTCACATACATTCTCAGCATCGCTCAATTCGAGGGTCATTCTCACACTACACGTCACGCTCCGTGCACTGATACACGTATTGCATGTGGCTACAGCATTACCTAAACTCTCAATTATCGCTCGTTGACTTATGTTTGTCCATTACCTGTTATGACATGGCACAATGACCACCACACTCGTACAATCGCGCCGCGCCGAGGTGACAAAAGTACCGCCTATCTCTGACAGCTGAATAGCAGCAGTGGCTGCCCAGCCAGCCGTGGTTTCACGGCGCTGACCCGGCGCCCCCCACCGTCCGGTCGGCGCCCCTTTTTGTCCGCACCGGATACGGAAACGGGCTGTGTCCGCGCCCGCTGCCGGCGCAGCTCACGGCTCAATTTGTTACAATGGTGGGCCCCGTTCAACAGAGGTCCGGAAGGACAGCAGACAGGACTGAGAGCGCGCTGCAGACGAGTGAAATGATTCGACTTGACAGCAGTCAAGCTTGGGTGCCATGGGCCGCATCTCATTGACAATGTACCGGATATTCAAGACTACTGGCTGAAGGCTGCCAGTCAGTAACTTCCTCCTAGAGAGTCATTTGAACATTGAACAAGTCCGCGGGAACGACCTTCGATTACGCTTAAAGACGTTGATAGTGTTAAGTTTCCATTTTCAATACCAGTTCAACGTTCATCGACTTAATCTCATCGTACAATCAGAGCAGTTCTGCGAATGAAACGGTTGACGATCAGAAAACGAATTCACCATTTAGTTGTTTATCTAAATGTATAAAATAAGATGTGGAATAATCCGGGGAGGATTCATAACAACACTTTCATACAATAGACAACACACTTGAGTACCTCCATCATTTTTTTTAAGTCACTTGAGGCATAAAAATTATCAGCATTAAACCAGTCACACAAAACATTACAGTCCACAGCATTTATCGACGGCGTTAAAATGAAACTAATTCCCTGGTGCAACGCCATTTTACAAGTCCCGTATTTCAGCTTGGCTGCTCCATGAGCTTCAACGCATCACAATTACACACAAACCTGACGTGTCATCGCATCACAAACCAAAATACACAGTGAGCCATCACCCTGACACCCGACAGCCAGTCCAGTCCGATATCTCTCCCCGATGTCACAGCCGGAGCAGCTCCTCTCTGAGCATGACACACTCCTCTCTCATCTCCGCCTCCTCTCTCCACTGCGGCGCACCCTTGTCATGATTCGACAGAGCGTCATACACGTCATCATTGAACGCAAAGTCGCCCGGTTTGCGGGGCATCACGTGCACATGTACATGCCGAATGGTCTGTCCGGCGGCCGGTCCGTCCTGCACACACACGGTGGCTGAGGTGGCCTGGTGCACCTTCTCCACCAGGCGCTGCACCAGCTGCGAGACCTGGAAGAGGTCAGCCACCTCCGCAGGGGTCAGGTCAACCAGCCGCAGACGGTCAGACAGCGGAACCACCAGCACGTGACCGGGAACCACGCACTTCTTGTTCACGAACGCGTAGGACAGTTTGGAACGATAAATCACCATATCGCCATCTATCGTCACTTGACCGAACTTAAACTTCTCCTTATCTCCGGGGAAGACTGCGGCAGCGCTGTTGATCGCAGCCGAGTCCGCTAGTGGTGGCAGCGGGACCGGATTCAGCTCAGGATACAAATCGACTCGCCGCTGAGTCGCCACCGGCATACCGACCCTCACCCTCGCCAGTTCAGCCGCCGACACATCAGCATACACCACACAGTTGGCTCGCTCTCCGGCGTCAGCCAGCACGCGCCCCCACGGGTCCACGATCATGGCGTGGCCGTAGGAGGCGCGCTTCTCGTTGTGTCGCCCCACCTGTGCGGCGGCCACCACATAGCACTGGGTCTCCACGGCACGGGCGCGCAGCACCAGTTCCCAGTGCGCGCGGCCCGTGGCCACCGTGAACGCGGACGGATAGGTGAGGATCTCCGCGCCCTGATGACGCAGCAGCTGACTCACCTCGGGAAAGCGCAGGTCGTAGCAGATGAGCATTGCCAGCCGGCCGGCGGGGGTGGGGACGGGCGCCGTCAGGGACTCCCCCGGACGGACGTAGTCCGACTCTCGGACTGACTCCCCGCCCGGCACGGACACGTCAAACAGGTGTGTCTTGCTGTAGGAGGCGGCCAGCTGGCCGGCCGGGGACACCAGAAGGTGGGTGTTACGCACGCGGCTCTGCTCGGTGGCCTCGTGTAACCCCCCGACCGACAGCCAGACGCCGAGCCGGGCGGCCAGCGCGCGGTACGCGGCCACCGTGGGACCGTCGCGCGGCTCTGCCAGCGCCACCACCTGCTGTCGGCTGGCCGCAATGTAGTCGCACGCCTCCGGCAGGAAGACGACCCGCGCGCCGCCGGCGGCCGCCTCCTCCACCAGCGAGGAGCACAGCGCCAGGTTCGCCGCCTTGTCGTCGGTGCAGGTGACCTGCAGCGCCGCCACGCGGCAGGTGTCGGAAAATGTAGTCATTGAGCGCGCCACCAAAGATCTGAGTGGCGCCACCAGTCTGGACAGCATCCAACCAACAGCGATGGAAAACCTGTGAATTGAAGCACTGTGATAGGTCACATATGACTAAATCAGCTGCTTCAAGACAAAAAAAGACAAAAACCAATGATCAATAAAATCATCTGAGGCGAAGAGACTCATATGGCTGTTACATGTGCATGATTGTTTCAAGTTTTTCAATCCCAAGTTTAAAAGATAACAGGGTATTGAAAATTGAGGCCCAGGGCCACTTTGTTTTTACTATCATTGGATTGCTCAGGCTGTGCTTATTCTAATGATGTGTATAAAAGCCCTATAAGTGCCATATTGCTCCAGTTAAAGCCAGCTCAACTCTCAATTGCATTCATCTGACTTCTGAGTGCCTCAGCACTACTTTTGTAAACATCCAGGGAAAGCACCCTAGCTACAGTGCCATCATCATGGCACATTTGAGACAAAACATAGGTAACATTCAAATTTGTAAATGTTAACAATACATTTTGGATAACACGTGCAAATAATTGTTACTATTTATCACATACCACCATAAGTTAATAAAATAAACCAGCCATAAACCTTCCATAGATATATCAAGTAGGCATCAATCAGAACAGGTGACCAGCAGGGCAAAGATCACAAATGCACTAAACAAGTCACAATAGGACTACAGAGAGTTTCGCAAACGGTTACTTTACATTTCTATTCAGCAAAAAAGGATAGGTAAGGTAAAGGTACCCCATACCTACCTAGCCAGTAAGGTAGCAGATCTTATACAGAAAAAAATGAAATATTCAACCATAGGCAGCAGAACAGGGGGGGGGGGCACCAGCCACCGGGGCACCGTGGCGTGCCCCCCTTGATTTAGCAATTTTAGTATTAGTCCTATGGGCGTTGCATGGAAAGAATGGATCAAAAGTCGGCAGTGCCCCCCCCCCCTTATTTGAAGATGTTCCGCCGCTTCTATATCAAACAGTACAAATTGTGAATAAAACGAAAGACCTATCAGTATCCACAGCTTGCTCACCTGAGAAATCTGGGAAGCCCTACCCTGAGCCCTACCAGCCCACTTATTGCAAATCAAGAATACAACATCAAAATTTAATTCAAAATTCAATTGAATTGTAAAAACATCACAAAAAACGAAGTGTCATAAAAGCAATACCATGCATCTGTTCAGAATTTAGCTTTGACCGCAAGTTACTAAGCAAAAACCTACTGAATGAGCAATATTCCTTTTGTCTCCTCCTGTTGCCGGGCAACTTGCAAAGACAGCCAATTGGATTCCGCCCTGCTTCCATCACGAACAGCAAAAGAAACTTGCGTTTGTCTACGAATCGTCATGGACGTCTCAAACCTAGCTTCCATATGCAAAGTTTCCCTTTATTTACGTTGCATGGCGATGAAGGAAAATATTGCTCGATGGAAGGCGCGTAGGAGTAAAGTAATCTTGGGAAAGCGAAGTAATTAATATAGCGGGTAGTGCGATAATAGGTACCTACACCCGCTGTATTGAAATTAACGCTGACACACACATCTCGAACCTGACAGCCGGGGTTACCTAGCGTGCGCTCAGCACCCGGATAATCAGGGAGAATTGTCCGGATCACCGAGATCATTCGGTGCACAGTGATGTGCAACGGACATGATAACTGGTAGATGAGCCATTAGCGAAGCAAAAGCAATCTAAAAATGTGACCAATTGCATGAATGGTCCCCGCAATACCAAATAATTCCCTAGCTACCGAGATATTGCAACTATTACAAAAGTGACACCTCTTCGTTTTGCACGTGGCACGCAGGGGCGCGGGAACTACTTTCCGACTGGGGGGGGGGGGGCACACCATAATAGAGATTAACCTAGGGTACCCCCAAATTTAGTTTTCTCACCGGTTTTAAGACACTTATTTTTCACCCCTCGGCTTTTTCAACAAAAAAGAAAACATTTGCAAAAAAAGTGTGGTATTCCGTCTCCAAGCTGTGGGGGCACCGCCCCCACGGCCCCAGAGTTGGGGGGGGGGGGTAAGCTGCCCCCACTGCCCCCCCCCCCCCCGGCTCCCGCGCCTATGGTGGCACGTGCATAAGGGTTCACCCACATGCATCGGGAATAGTCCAATACTTGGAAGAAGGAATGAAGCTACCCTACAAAAATTACCGCGTGTAAATCGGTCAAGTGGTTGCTGAGATATAAACCTCGCAAAAACGTCCGCACGTCTGGCCGCTTATACTCAGAAATTTCCTAAGGAAAGACTCCGCTCGCTTCGCTCGCTCTGTAATAACGGCATGTTTTCTGAAAAATATAATGACATTTGGCAAATTTTGACCTTTGATGACCTCTCGTGACCCAAATATTGCTCTATAGAGCAATATTGGGGTATCTTATCCCTCGCCCGTAAACGGCGATCTGCCACCTTCGCCCATGCAGGGGCGAAGTTGGTGCGACCCCCCCCCCGTGGCGTTCGAAAACGGAGCGTCGTAGAGCTTAGCAGAAAAAACCAACGGATTGCTCTCAACGAGATCTCGCGATTGGTGGTATATTTTTTGGTCCTAGGTCAACATTTGACCTACTTTTGACCGGTCAAAGGTCAAATTTTCGGAAAAATAGACTTTTTTAACTTTCCGCGGCGGTTGCGGCAAAACGGTGGGAGATATCGACTTGAAACCTTCACTATCGTGTTCCTTGATCAATTCTCTATCGTTTGGTATGTATTTCGTTTCCCTAGCTCTAAAAATGGCGCGTTGGGAGCGCCGGAAGTCGGTAAGGTCACAGTCGGCGGCAGAAATTCGAAAAATCCAAATTTAAATTTTTGAAATCTGATTGTATTTTTGGATTTGGGAGGTCCATTTGCTCCCTTTAGAAGCTAACATTGCTGCATATTCCCATTGAGGTGACAAGAATTAGCAAAATAGTGGTTCGGGCGCTTTTCAAAAATAGTACCGGACGCTGTTCCTCTTGTGACGTCATAGCTCCGTGACCTGACCTGACCCGGTCAAGTTTCTTATACCATATGATAGCCAATACTTGCCCCAACATGCATGGGAAGTTTCATCACGATCCATCAACCGATGTCCGTACCACCGGCAGGAAACCTCGGGCGTTGGCACTCAGTTTGTGAAAATCCGGCCGGAGGCTGTTCCCTTTGTGACGTCATAACTCCGTGACCTGACATGACCCGGTCAAATTTTTTTTTATCAAAAGATGCGCAAGGTTTGCCCCATAAGGTACCCAAAATTTGGCGGCGCTGCGCGCCGCCGTTTTTGCACTATTTCCGAAAAGCCTCAGGGGGGGGGTTGCACCAACCCCCCCCCCCCTACATGGGCGAGGGTTATAATATCTTATATCATTTTTCAGCCTATAAGATGAAAAATGACTGAAATACTTTCAAACGTACGCATTGAGAGCTATCGACTGCTTTTATCGCGTCTTTCTAGCCCTCTTAGTTTTTTTAGTTAGATGTGGGTGGTAACATATCCCCCCCCCCCCCACTATGGCGAAGTTGGCCGAGACCGCCACTGGGGCGCGGGTTAAAGAAATTCGTACGGATCACTTTAGTAAATCGGCCATATAGCGCGTCGCCCAGGTAGCACGTAGATATGCGGTCATGAGGGCTGACCGAGCCTGAGATGCGGAATCGGATCACTCCAGTCTATCCCCCAATGATATATTCAGTATCAAGCGCCATTAGCACCGCATGCAAATCAGGCTATAAGTAGTTGGCTATACCGTATGAATAGCTTGTCCTTATACCTATACTAGACGCGATATAGAGTGAGTTTCTTGCCGTTTTGACTGCGAGTTTTCGTCAGCCTCTCAAAAGACTAAAAGCAGAGGCATACGGTGCGAGCTAAAGTCACTGAATTGTTTTATGGGAAAACAACAAATCTTTCCCCGCTGGCCGCCCCTCCCGAATGCTCTCACGCCATCCTCAGCCTAACACCAGTCATCGGAAGTATACGCCTTGTTTCAGTCTCTCCTCGACTCAGACAGACACAAGACAGCCGTCTGTCTGTCTCTGCCGTACAAAGCAGGTGTTCACAGCCTGTTTATAAATAAGCTGCGACTTTGGACAGATCTACCCGCCTGCTGCACGAAAATCTAGTCCGCTGTGGCAGACTGGCACTTGTGGTTGGAGAGTTGTTGGAACTCCGCCGGTCTTTGAAGGCTTACCAGGAAGGATACGCTACAAACAGAACGTTTATCAGGGAATTGAATAAGCCTGTGCGCCCACTACACGACTGGGAAGTTTCGATAGTAAAACGGTTTCGGAATTTCATTATTTTTTGTCGACACGAACTTTGCAGAATAATTCTTATAAAAAAGGTAAGTGTAAAAAGTGTCGGGTGACGCCCGCCGTCATAGTTAGCTACTTAATTTACAGCTTCAGGTCGGAATTGTCACCGCTAGTTTGACTCAATTAGCATGCATTTACCCTAATTCAATTTACCCTGTGCATTTACTTCCGCACTTTTATACTACCCTAACCAAGCTTACCTACCATTTACCTATCTCAGCAGCACTCGCCACCGAGTGAATGAATTAACGAACGAAGGAACAAATGAATGAATGAATGAATGAATGAATGAATGAACGAATGAATGAATGAATGAACGAATGAACGAATGAATGAATGAATGAATGAATGAATGAATGAATGAATGAATGAATGAATGAATGAATGAATGAATGAATGAATGAATGAATGAATGAATGAATGAATGAATGAACGAATGAATGAATGAATGAATGAATGAATGAATGAATGAATGAATGAATGGTATCTATACCATCGGCCATCCACACTGCTGGCACCCACCGACGCGACGGACCGTCTAGGGTGGCTCTGGATCGTCTGAGGTTCCGGTGGCGCCGCGCCGTGCCAGCGGGGTCCCGACCACTCCCAGATAGGGAGCGTCTCAATTGGGAGGCGCTGACAGCCAAAACAAATCGACCCGGCACCTCCGCGACCGATCAATCATCCGAGGCGCGATCCGGCACCGGTTTTATCTCTCGATGGCGGTAAATTATAGCAGGAGGCGGATGGGGGTGGTGAATAGAAAACGAGTGGATGTGATGCGACGTTTTTATTTTCGTTTAGATGCGCCGTCCGGTATATGGTCGACGACTGTTTGGTGACACCCTTTTGAGCTGTCAATTGTATCAGATATTCCGTGTCTGCTCGCTCGATAGAAAAAAAAATGTGTAGCAGATTTCGAAACAATTTTAGTTGTGCTTCTACAAATCGCAGTTAAGCATTTGTAACCGCAGCAAAGTACATTGATGATGATTTCACCGCCCACAAATTGTGTCAAAGCAGTCGCTAGCATCATCTTATTCTTAGATACCGGTATGTGGAATGGATGAGGTCATAAACTTAAATGTCGATCACGAGTGACATTTAGAAGAAAGCAGATGCAAGCAGAAAAAAAGCCTTACGGATACGCCATAAGAGCCAACTATTTGCTTCTGTTTTCACCACGATATAACAGCATCGCTCAAAGATGAGATCATCTTTGACGGACGAGCCAGTTTACAGCACGGATTTGACCCGGAAGTCAGTCTCCAAATGCTTCATTAAATTTCTGGACAATTTCATCCAGAGGACAGTGGCATGCCAAGAATGGCTGAACTAAGCTTGGCTGTAGGCTTTATCGTGACAGCACCGATTACATCAGAGCACGTGACAGCCACATCCTGTGTGTGAAGACTTCCGAAAGAGGCCGATGTGCGACCCAACCGTTCACGATCGGAGTTTCCAGTTGTCGGTCAGGGTTTACGATTCATGATGGACAATCGACATTTATGACGAATAGCGGTCTTGGTGTCACACGATAACAGATTATATCGGCTACGGCGTGACCGATATCTCAATTATCACCTCTAGATCAAGGATTCAGTCCAGCTGTCGTGCTGCTGCCCTATCGGTCTCTGTTTCCGTATCCGGTAGCTCGCATCATAATCCCTCCGCTCCATCCACCGGTAGGTACTCCTCCCCCTCCCCCCCCCCCCACACACACACAAACGATGCGCTGAATCTGAACAGGTTTCGTATCCGGAGTGTCAATTTACCTCACCCTTCTGCGTCGGTCTGTGCTCACGTCATGTTTTCAGCGCTCGTCGCGGAGATCAGTCATCCCGTGTCCGAGAGCCGCACGGCTGACGGCTCTTCGGGAACTGACCTGTCAGTTGTCGTACATTGCAAGAATCTGTCACCTGACGTCCTCAATCACGGCAGGCTTACCGTCTAACTAAGCAGTGGGCTTTTGGCAGTATGATGTCACCACTACCAGGACAAATAGAAAGAGCCTGAAATGACAC